CCCCCCCACACACACACACACAATTACCCTACTGTGTCCTTCACTAGTACTGCCCCCTCAACTCCCACACTAACACAGGTTGGTGTTTGATAGAATCAGTGTTGATTAGCCCAACAAGGTGATATATACTGACTGTATGTCTACACACTCCACACTAATTGGTTGAATTAACAGAGATAGAGAGAACAGAATAGAGGTGGTTGATGTAGGAAGGGGATCGGGGAGAGGATGTGTACAACAATCTACTATAAACAAAAATAACTCATGCATCAGTTTGTAGTCAAGCTGATGAAAGGTTTTTATAACACTATGGAGGAGATTGAATTTGTTATGTAAATTTCTTATAAAAGGCTGCCTTTATTAGGGTAAAAGCCATCAATAATGATTAGAAATTTAAGATAACTTGGAAGAAATTTTCTAGTAAAACTTAAGGGATTTCTATACATTTAAACCATTGAAGTTCTTACAAAAATTTCTTAAATCTTGAAAATAAAATATTCTGATGTCTTGAAGCAGTGTTACTTAAACTGTCATCTAAGAGCAACTATGTCTTGGCAGAAACTCATTAGTAAGGAAGCAAGATGGAAAAAATGCTGTTAGAAATATGGTCCAGCTGTACACAGAACACTAAATATTAGTGCTTTTAGAACATATATACTGCCATATACACATGGAGGTATTAGTGAGGTAGCTTATAACCAGTGGTAAGCACCTGAAAAAGTAGGTCCTTGATTGCATTAATTCACTATCTGAATTGTATTATCTATGTATGGTAAAGCATCTTTCAGTGGTTTGTTGTTGCTAGATAGGTGCTGCGGCATACGTTGTATAATTATAGCGAGGTACATAATATATATTCCTGCATAATTTTCAACTTCTTCATCTTTTTTCGTGATGACAAGTGGAAGATTTATTTACTGATAATAATGATGTTGAATGTTCCAGACAGTGTTAGTTGTATTTGTAACAAACAACAAAAGATAAATACATATTTATGTAATAATTAATTTATGGCAACCTCTGTTATAAGTTAAGGGCATTTCCGTAAATATGTTTCTTTCTTTTATTTCGGTAAAATAGAGGTTTCGCAGTATCAGCTGTGATATTGTTGATTGATTGGAGGCCGAAACATGTTTTGATGGACAAAGATAAATTAGTTTGACGATAATGTAAAGTTCGAATTTGATGTATTACCAGTGATAATGGTGTTTCTTTTGGTATTTTGAAAAGTGTTTTGATGGACAAAGATTGAATCATGGCAATAATGTTAATTCCAATTGTGATGTATTGCTGGCGATAATGGTATTTAGATTTTTAAATCGTATCTATTGTTGCTGCTGAACAGTCGTATTGATTTGGATTGTAAAATGAAAACTTGAAGAATTTCTTTTTGAAACAGTTAAATGATATACAAATTGTTAGGTGGTAAATACTTTTTGTATGAAAAGCTTGTATATATGGAACTTCAGTGCTAACTAGCACTGTTTAAAATCAAACTGTTGCAAACGCCAGAAATTACTATTAACTCGTTCACCCCTGAAATTTCATAACGAACTATTCTAACCTTTGGAAGAATTGGAAGAGTTCAAATGTGTCTTCAGGGGTGAATGAGTGAGGGTATCATTGTAAACTTGCTTGTTGACTTGTCACAGAAAGGTTTTCAGTGGGAAGTAAATATATTGAAAACAAGAAGATTTTTCACAGGATATTGAACAATGTTAACATCTAGTTAACTAATTTTCAAAGAGCACTACGATGCTGTGTAAAACCCCATGGTAATTTGAAGCAAAGCTATTACAAGTTATTTGTGGTGTAAAGACCCTTTCAATCCTAGCCACAATTGTGAATGTATATGTTAGCTTCGATATGCCAGTGTTACATACCCATTTAATATCTATCCAAATATTGTAGAATAAGCAATTCGCTCAATGTTTGAGTATTATCTAGACAAGCATTATTAGCTCACCTGGACCGAAGGTGCAAGTTTGTGAGTGACCTTTACTTATATTCAAGGACACAGGGGTCAAATAAGTTTGAAACTTTTAATAAACTTCTGAATAACCAAAATGCCCAGGGTGATGATAATTTGGTCAGTAGTATGCTGTGATGAAGGGCTACCAAGTTTGTTCAAATGAATGACCTTCAACCATTTTCAAGGTCACAGTGGTCAAATATGTTTAAAACATTTAAACAACTTCTGAATAACCAAGAGGCCTAGGATAATGATATTTGGCCAGTAACATGCTAGGGTAAATGGCTACAAAGTTTGTTAAAATGAATGAACTTGACAAATATTCAAGGTCACAGGGATCAAATATGTTTAAAACCTTTAAACTACATGTTCTCAATAACCAAGAGGCCTAGGATGATGCTATTTGGCCAGTAGCATGATGTGATGAAGGGCTACCAAATTTGTTCAAATGAATGACCTTTACTTATATTCAAGGTCACAAGGGTCAAATATGTTTAAAACCTTTGAATGACTTCTTCTCAATAAGCAAAAAGGCCATGGGTGATGATATTTGGCCATTAACATGCTGGGATGAAGGACTTACAAATGTTCAAATGAATGACCTTCACCAATATTCAAGGTCACAATGGTCAATGTATGTTTAAATCTTTAAATGACTTGTTTTTTATAACCAAAAGGTTCAGGGTAATTTTGCCAGAAGCATGCTGGGTTGGAAGACTATAAACTCTGTTCAACCTAAAGTCCTTGTTCGACATTCAAGGTCACAGGCATCATATGTTTAAAGCTTTTAATCTTATGAATCAAACACTGCTATCCTTCCTGTAGCTGTATTTTAGTCCACTTTTAAGATTACAAGTGTGAGATGTATACCAGGTGAGCGATTCAGGCCCATTGGGCCTCTTGTTTTTACT